AAATATAGTTTTATAGCTCTGGGTATAATTTCAGATTATAGCATCGCGTATAACTGCTGTGACAATTAAAAGAAACAAATAAGTCATAAAATCAGGATGTATATCTGGTGTTTTGGTTGATTTTCACATGAAATGCTACAGTGTTTTGACGGATGTTCAGATGTTATGGCACTTCCGGTTTGCCGTAATTCCAATATAATGACTTATTCTACTAAGCACGAATTCAGAATAAAAAAGGATATAAACTGATTAGAATAAATTCCAGCAAATATTTTACAGGTTCTTAACTTACCTAGGCGGAGATTTTTGTCGCTAAGGGCGAAGTTGTTTTACGCTCATCCTCTCATTGTCCCGGAAGTAAAGATGTCAGCTGGAGTCACAGCGCCCCCTGCTGTTGGTTGTTTTTAAAACCGTGACGCTCTGCGTCGTCTTCTTCTGCTTAATTTTCTTCTTCTTTAGGTTTAAACGGCAGCTTCCATTGCTTTCATTATTATTGCTCTACTGCCATCTATTGGATCATAATATCTATTCCTCAAATTCTCATATTGATCCCAGTATTTTTTAAACTAAAAATCTTCTTCTTCTTATATATTAATTAACTTTTCAACCACATTCTCAGATTTCAATTCCCCGTTAAAACCTAATTTTATTTTTAATAATGTTCTTTGATTTACATAACTTCTACAACTAATAAAAACTCTATGGCTGAGTCATAATCATATAAAGAAAAAGACTAATTCAACTGAATTGATATGGATATTACTTTAATGTTTTATACACTGTATACATATTTATAAAATGTGGAAATCTAGAACTAACATGCTAGATAATTACTTTTGTGTTTCTTATTGATTATTTTTTCATATAAAACTGTTTATTGATTTGGCACTGGAGAAATTAACCTCTGCATTTAACCCATCCCTTTGGGGAGCAGTGGGCTGCCATTGTGCAGCACCCTGGGAGCAGTGTGGGGTTAAGGGTCTTGCTCAGGGACCCAGAGTTGCAGTCTGTGGGAGTGTGGGGCTCAAATTCAGAACCTCAGGATTCCAAATTCTAGGCCCTAACCACTGGGCCCCATTAGGCCGCCGCTCCCCAAGATGAGAACCTCTCTGTAGGTCAACCAGTGAATCAGCAAAGTCTACTTGATGAGGAATTTTTAAAATGTCACGAAGAGAAGCTTTGTCAAGGAAATATGAAAAAATAATACACAGTGATAAAATTGCAAGTATAAAATATTATTTATAATACTGAATAAATTAGCTGCATAATTCACAAACAATATTTCTTTTATTTTTTATTATTTATTTTACTATATTTTTAATCCTTCGTGATATTATCCTTTTCTCTAAAAGGTGTCAGTGGTGAACATATGTGGCCCCTTTTCTACTGAAATAAGACAGAATCAACAGGTCAGCATTTCCCCTAAAGGGTTTTCTATTTCTTTTTCTTTTTTTTTTTAGCTATCAATTCTTAGTTAAACAAGTTATTGGGCTAAATTAAAATATTCCTGCTTCATTATGTATTTTTTTAAACCTTCTCAAAACAAAGACTCTACCCGCCTCTGCCAGTGAGAAACCTTCAGACAGAAAGGAAACCTGCTGGGGTCAATGTTGCATCGCAGAACCTGCAAAAATCCGTGTCAATGGTATGTTCCTTCAAAATAGCAACACACTAACTGGAAACCCCTGAAAGTCCTTGATATTTATCCATCAAGGAAGGATTTTTTTTTACCATGTTTTAAAGGTTTTGGGACTTCATTAAACCACAACAAAAGTTACTATC